CTATTTCACTAGGAGGGTGGTGAAACACTGGAATGCATTACCTAGGGAGGTGGTGGAGTCTCCTTCCTTGGAGGTTTTTAAGACCCGGCTTGACAAAGCCCTGGCTGGGATGATTTAGCTGGGAATTGGTCCTGCTTTGAGCAGGGGGTTGGACTAGATGACCTCTTGAGGTCCCTTCCAACTCTGATATTCTATGATTCTATGATTCTATGACTGTGATCAATTGTTCTCCAAGTCCACTGAAGGTAGTACAAGAAGTAATGGGCCTAACCTGCAACAAGGGAGATTTAGATTAGATATTAGAAATAACTTTCTATCTATAAGGATAGTTAAGCTCTGGAACAGACTTCCAAAGGAGTTTGTTGAATTCCCATCATTGGAGTTTTTGAGAACAAGTTGGACAAACACATGTTGGCAGGGTTGCCCAGAGGAGGGGGCAAGTGGGGCAATTTGCCCCAGGCTGAGAATATAGTATTCTATAGCAGGGGTCAGCAACATTTCGCACGCAGCTCACCAGGGTAAGCACCCTGGCAGGCCGGGCCAGTTTATTTACCTGCTGACGCAGCAGGTTTGGCCGATCACGGCCCCCACTGGCCGCGGTTCGCCGTCCCAGGCCAATGGGGGCGGCGGGAAGCCGCGGCCAGCACATCCCTCGCCCGCGCCGCTTCTCACCGCCCCCATTGACAAGGGACAGTGAACCGCGGCGAGTCGGGGCCGCGATCGGCCGAACCTGCCGCATCAGCAGGTAAATAAACTGGCCCGGCCCACCAGGGTGCTTACCCTGGCGAGCTGTGTGCCAGATGTTGCCGACCCCTGTTCTATAGTATTGCAACTTTTTTTTATGGAAGGGGCCCCTGAAATTGCTTTGCCCCGGGCCCCCTGAATCCTCTGGGCAGCCCTGCCTGTTGGTAACAATCTAGGTTTACTTGTTCCTCCCTCAGTACAGGGCTGGACTTGATGACTTCTCATGGGCCCTTCCAGCCCTACGTTTCTTTGAGGGGCAGGCAATCTCAGATTTACACTGTCTGGGACACGTGGCTTTTGGACTGTGCAAAGTCATGTGGGCTTGCTACAACACTGCTAGTTTAAAACATGGCAAAGTCAAATTACTCTATCATTGTCAAAAAAAAAAAGCTTGTGTGACATGCCTCCCATTTTGCTGACATATAACACCTTCCACAATTATTGCAACCTCAGAATGCACTTTGGATAAGCACTCTAGTGTGTTACTGAACACATGGGATTTTAAAATAAAGGAAAATTGTGCCTAAATTGCTAATCACAGAACTATGGAGCTTTTAAATGTGGTGTGATATTAGTCATTTTATTCATGCACAGAGATGCTTCTCTCCTTTAGAAATTTCACAGTATTATTCTGGTGGAAAGATACCTTTTCTTTACATAACTCGACCAATATTAGGACAACGTTGTGTCCACAGATATATTTGTGTCTCCAGGTATTTCATTCATTGCTAAGAGCAATAAGACACTCCTTAAAAGAATTTAAGTCCCTGACATGCTTCTGAGTTCTATATTTCTCATTTGAATCTCTGGTTTAGCTAACAGATGTTTAAAAAAACCTGTAGCCAGACAAATCCCTATCGAATATACATATGCAGATGCTGAAGAACATATGTTATTCCAGCTAATGTCAGAATTAGTATAGAATTGGAATTTTTCCTCCTGATTTGCTTTTTTTTTCTTTTGTGGTATGGCATAGTAATGTATTTCCATGGTTCCAACCACTTCTGGACACCATGAAAATACACCAACACTCAGTGAGTTTTACTATCCTGCGTAGCAAGGTCATCCTCTTCAGGGGGCTTTCACAATTTACCCTGGGCAACAGACATTTAGAGATCAGCCTTTTTTGCAGTATGGCATCATACCAGCACCTATCACCCTTCACAGAAGGATCTATATTTTTAACGGTGGATGATGGCACTTAAACACATTCCTAATAGCATATCTAAAAAATCCTGTGCTGATCCAGCAACATCATAAGGGTCTTAGAAAGCCTGCTTGTGAACTTTCTCTATTTCAAGCTAACTGAGATCAGACTTAAGATAAATAAAAATTCCTTGTCTGGCACTGACCTTCAGTGTGTGCCCATTTAGAGGGCATATTTTCCTACCTGATGTAAAGTGACTGCTTCCCTGTCCCCTTCTTTCACCTTTGTTTGGGTATTCAGCTGCAAGTAGTAAAGTTTGGCTGATTTATTGTATATTATTAATTTTCAGATCACTCTTAATGTTTTGCCACATGGCTCTGGAGATACCTACAACTGGGCTTTTGAAGCTCTATGCAAACTGGAAATGTATATGCCTCTTCTTGCAGCATGCACGTAGAGAATGAAAAAAAACAACCCCCCCACACACACACTCATCATGCATGTATTAGCCCCACACAAACTGCCCGATCTGCATTTATGGAGGAGTTGTCCCCCTCCTCCCCTTAAAATAACTTTTTTTCCCTGGGGCTGCCGAGCAGCATGTCTATTGGACGCTGTTGTAGGGTGTGAAATATACGCCACTGAGCTCTTCTGTACTAATGGCTCGGGAGCAGGAAACCTCTGTACAGGGTCGCCTTTATTTTATTCAGTGCTCACCACAACTACATGTGTGCCTTCCCCTTCCAAAGCACGCAAGTTGCGATCAAACAGCTGAACAACCGAAAGGGGAATCTCGGAAACAGAGCAGCCCAGACGCTGCAGAGCAAAGTTTCAGCTCGTTTAGTCCCCTGGATTCCCCTCCCACTGGGCCAAGTTCTGGAGGAGGAAAGAAAAGTTCCCTGCTCCAGGCGTGTAATTAAAAGATAGAAAGACAAGCACCGTCTGAAGAGGCAGACAACGCAGCTGTGCCCGATTCTGGATGCAAACTGACCCCGGCGGGGGAGGGGGTCAAGCGGCAGCAACCGGAGGAGAGGAAGGGGGGTGATGAATTAGGGGGAGTCTCTAGGCTCCACTCATGCGTGGGGGGAAGTGGGAGGGACAGAGGTCACAGAGGGTCTCCCAGGAGGGAGAGGAACCGGGGGAGTGAGAGACGAGAGGGACCCGGCTGTGCAGCAACGCCTCTTGCTATAAATCTTGGGGGGTCCGAGCCGCAAAGGGATACAAGCGCGTGACAGCCGCAGCCAGCTAGCCAGGGGACAGACGGGCGGCGGTGGCGGCGACGGGCTGCTCCTGGCGGGGGGGAGATCCGGAGGAGCCTGGCTCGCCCAGGGCTGAGCTGCTCGCCCCAGACAGCGCGCAGAGAGCCCGGGCGGGACCTCCCGACTTTGCCATTGCACCGCCAGCTCACCACGCGGGGCGCGCACCAGCCTGCAAGTTCCTGCTGCCTTGTAAGTTTTTTTAGCGGGGGCTTCATGCATAGACTGTACTGAGGGCGGCAGGAGGGCGCCTGGGGCGCGTGTACTTTAGCAGCACCGAGGAGGGGGCAGTAAGTCTAAGTCTGCCAGTACTTCAGGTAGTAACAGCCCTTGTGGTTTTCCTTCGTCTCCCCACACCAGGGCCAGGTAAGTTGGTTTTGTGCTCATCTGCCACTCAAGCACTGCGGGGGTTGCTTTATAGACATCAGTGAAAGGTTTCAGGCTTTTTGCATTTGCTTTATGAGAGCACTAAACTATTCTACATTGTGTCTTGGTTTTAAAGTTAATTGATAGGTCAGAATGGCAGGGAAAAGTTTACAGCATATCTGAGGGAGTTAATTCGTATTTGTTGGGCATTGCATTTTCCCTTGGAAGGTGTTTTTGTTTCATTTTCATCAGGGGAGTATTGGTTCCGATTATTTTAATTTACTCTTATTTTCATTGAAAAAAATAAAATGTCCAGGTGCCTAATGAAAAAAATGTATCCATGGTTTCCGATCTGTTACATAGTTTTATGATAAATTTATACTTTGTTTATATAAAGTTGGAAGTGGAATCCCTTTTCCCTTGCCAAAATGCAATCATCTACAAGCAGACCCTAGCATGAAGATAGTACAGTTGCATCAAGGCCAATTTACTGAAACCATGCTACATACTTATCTTTATTTTGCAGATAGCTAGATAGGTCCAGCTTGCAAACTCACAGCCGTGTCATACGGATGCTCTCTAATGTCTTGTCAACACTTCCAAGACAGAGTAAAGATGCCACTTACCAAAAGTGATGGAACTTAGAGCAGTGACCCCTCTGACTCGGGAGATTATTCAGGCTATTCATAACAGACCATATGGAGTCCTGGTGTAACTCCATTAAAGGCACCAGAGATGACAATGGTGCAATCTCTTCTATTTACTTTTATTACAAATCCAGAGTGAACATTCTAAAGGGTTGGAAATGCAGCTTTCGCTATCTAATATCAGATATTGGTTTGGTCTAGAGTCTGTAACTTCTCTCTGCATAACCAAATTTCATTCTATTTTTTCTGAACATGTGGAGAAAAATACAGCAACAGGAGGTTTCCATATTTTAACATTTAATATTTAAGTGACTGCAGACCTTAAATGTATGAGGTATAATGCTTGTAAAAATCTATGATATGTTATTTACAGAGACATGCATCCTGGAATATCTCAAGACTCTGAGCAAACCCATTGGTGCCAGCAAAGCAACTGGATAAATCACCAATTGGTTCACAGTATTTACAAGTAATCAACTTGCAGAGTCAAATTATGCTCTTTGTTACACCTGTGCAACTCTTCTGAAATTAATAGAGAATTAATATGGTTTGAATCCTGCCATTCATTCCAAACAGTTTGCAATTCATTTTGAATTTCCACAGGTATTGGAGTGTAACAATATTGTATTTTAAAAACCAACTGCCATAACATGGGAAAGTTCAGTAAATAAACTTGGTGAACCTGTCACTTGTAATTGCTGGAAGTACTGAATTTGGAGAGGTTTCGTTCTGTATATTCTTGATGGGAAATCACCACTCCCTTTAATATAGCTGTCTGAACACAACAACGCTACAGTAGATTAGAATTAAAGTCAATAGGATCTGCATGAATAAAAGGGGCTGAATATGGCCTAAAGCAGGTAATTAATGTGGTGATGTTAAAGTGCTCTGGCAGCAGTGTTTTATGATTAGACAAACCTTTCACACTCTTGATTAGGGTGATCCTTTTTGTTTTACTGCCATCATAATCTTTTAAAACAATCTTTTACTGGTATAATTCTCCAGCTGGAACTGAGCATTTGTTGTGTATTTTTCATCTCTACAAACCCTGAACCACATTCTCACAGCAATGTTAAGTCAGGAATACGTCCCTTGAGTACTTCCTGATGTACTTGCTAAGAGTATTGCTAAGAGTGGGAAGCTAATCTGCCCCTTTACTGCTTGTTGTAGGGGGAACAATGTTCATCTGGAGATTTGAAAATAGTGGGCACAATTCTCTTAGTTACACTTGTGCATTTTGTTGACTGAAATTGAGTTAATTCCTGATGTACATCAGAGAAGGGGAAAGGAGAATTGGGCCCGTTGTTCTGAGGGGGGTGACATGTCCTATCTCCTAGCCTGGCAACAGCGCTTTGCAATTTGCACATGCCATACCAACCCATGGTAATCTGTTTCTATGGCAATAATGACAGGCAGAGGTGATAGTACCACAACATTGCAGAAAGGAGGAGCATGCTGTCTTGTCAGGTTACATCACCGGTCTAGATATTGTTAATTAACCTCCCAATGTAAGACAAAAAAACTTCAGTTTCTACATTTTTATCTGCGGACTAATAATAATGTCTGCCTGGTAGCTTCCTTTTTGCCACTATTGTAAGTGTGTAAAAGAAAGACGCAGAGAGACAGATTGTGGAAGTAGAGTCCCATTTATACTTTAATTACACCATTGAAATATTGTACTGTATTTGCAGACATAAAGGTGATTTTTCCCCCCTTGAAGTCTACAGCGTAACTGACGTATGAAACTCTTCTTGGGCTAGATAATCTATTCTTTTAAAGTGCTGATCTACTATGAGAACTGACTGAAATTGGCATCATGGTGTTACATATTTATTGCCTCTCAATAACTTCCAGATAAAATCTGTTCAGTTAAAAGCTAGTTTTGAAGGCTACCAGCCATCCAAACTCAGCCAGGGATCTCAAAGTCAAATGGATTTTTTTTTTCTGGCTCATGGATTAACACCACTAGAGTCTCCTTAATCTGAATTTAATTAACAATTCTGCTGATAATGCATGAGACAGAATCGATTCCGTTTCAGTCTCCTGGTGCTGTATGGGATCTTCAGAGCTATCAAGTGTAAGAGGTAGGAAATATTTATTTTACTCAGTAAATTAAGCGGATATTGTGAATACATAAAGGGAGCTGTTCTCTGGAGCAGAAAGTGTTCAGAAAGTATTAATATTCAGAGTAGAACGATACTTTAAATTCTTGACAATTTCATTTCAGATGGTGGGAAAGCACTGCATTTATTTGGGCCCACTGCATAAGTTTTCTGTACTGTAATCATTTTAAGTACCATATTTTGTAATGGAATAAATATTTAAGAATCAAATCTCTTATTTCAGTATTACCAATCTCTCTGGTAATCCCCTGTGCTTCCGTACCATCGGTCACATTAACTACACAAATATGGGAATGTCATTGTTTCAAAAACATGATATAAATTACAAGCTCCAGTCACAGAACACCAATTAAACAACTCTCACTAGTGAGAAAGGAGAGCCTCATGTATGGATACTAGACCAAACATTCACAGTCATGCATTCAAGTACTAACTAACCTTCCATTTTCTTCAGGATATTTCCGGAACATCTTTTTCACATGTGGAAAAAAAGCAGCCAAACTCCTTGCCAGCACAAAGCTCCTCTATCATGATCAGTATTCTCCTGCAGTGGTCAGACTGCAACCACCTCCCAGTATGACCCCAACGAGATGCCAAGCAGTACCAGGAGAATAAGTAACTGCTCTCTTGACTATAATTCCTCACATTTTACAGCATCTGAGCTGTTATGTAAAACCTATAGTGCTTTCTGAATTTTAGGCACACTGCTATGTGCCTAACAATTCCATCTCCTTCTCTTCCCCAGTGAACTTCATAAAGGATCAATTCCTGTCCGTGGTTTCATATGTACAACTCCTATTGAACACAGTAGAAGTTGCAGGCATATAGCAAAGTTACTAAACATGGCATAATTTTAATCTCCTGTTCCCACTTATGACTTTAACATACATCCACACTCTACAAGGTGTAGAGCAAGGGCAAGCTTTTGTTAGACACATTTTTTTTCAGTTTAAATGACATCAACAGATTTACCTCCCCCAATATCATTTCCATTTATGGGTTTCAGAGTAGCAGCCGTGTTAGTCTGTATCCGCAAAAAGAACAGGAGTACTTGTGGCACCTTAGAGACTCTCCTCAATATATGTTTCACTCTATATGCATCCAAAGAAGTGGGCTGTAGTCCACGAAAGCTTATGCTCTAATAAATTTGTTAGTCTCTAAGGTGCCACAAGTACTCCTGTTCTATTTCCATTTACATGTACCACTTACAGAGCACTCTGAAAACACCACTGCCTAAAAGACCATGGGTGTAGAAGTATCTCACACCACGCTATCTTTCTCAGCCAATACAGCTGTGTACTCTTCAGTCAAATACTCAGTAGCAAATCAGAGCTTTTAAAGGAAAATTAAAAGTAGACAGAGATACATACAAATGTTCATGCTTCTTTCCCTTCTTTGTAGGTACCTGATCTAAAATATTGTACACCTTTCTCTAATCCCTATTGTTCTGCTGCTTCTAACTTTTGTACTTTGCAAAATATATTTTGGCAAAAAAAAAAGTATTTGGTAAAGGTGCGTAGCCCATGTCTTCACACTAAGAAGAATCTGCATTATTTTGAATACTTTGGGGGACTCAATGGATAATAAGAATACTTTAGACACCATGAAATATATAGTTCTTGGTACTTTGTTTTGGACCTTTTTTAGCCAACAGTCTTGGGAGGTTGTTTTTACTATAAATCATAGCAACTGTGATTGCTCACAACAAAAATCCCTATGAAACTAAATGGTTAGTCTAATCATTAACAGACTTATCTTTTAGATAAATGATGGACCAAGCTAAAATGACTTTGGGCTTTCAAGTGAATCATAACTAAAAGTGGAAAACAGGATGGTCAACAAGGTGTGATCTATCTATTCACTATTGTGCCACCTCCTCAAACTAATACAGATTTACTCTCCTCATCACCTCTTGCAATCTTCATTCCATATGGTATCTGTGAGATAGCAGAACTATCCAGGTACGACATGTATCAACTGTAAAAATATTGGCTAGCATGCTTGGTTATCATTTGTGGTGTTTATCTGGTATCATTATTCCATAGCATGTCTCCTG